CAAAGGAACTTACTTCTCTACATAAATTATTATCACGCATGGAAAAAAATATATTACCAACATAAATCGAACTCAAATCTCAATTTAGACTAAGTTTTCTTGATTTTATAAAAAAAATGTTCACAGTTTATTTCCAACATAAAATTCATTTTTAGCAATCAATTTCCTCTCCAGCTTAAGAAAAATGAAATTTCATGCTATGTTTATTACAAACAAAAAAAAAACAAAAATACTTTTGAAATAAAATACTTTTAACCCATATTTAGTGATACATTTTTTTTTTTAATAAGAATATGTATCTGCATGTAATATTATATATGTATACGTATACATCGTTCTTTTTTTTCCAGTCTTTTCTTGTTTTCTGATGTCGTATTAGATTAATATACAATTCAAGCAATTATTTTGTTTATATGAGTTTCATTTCCAAAGTTTGGATGAGAGGTTGGGAAGTCAAAGTCAATCTCTATCATATATATATATATATATATATATATATAAATGTTCCTTAGTAGCTGATGTTAGGTTTGAATATATACATATATATATATATATATTTCTTGGTGACGGGTTAATTAGTAATGTCATATGTACTTATCCATTGCATACTGTTTAGTCACGAAAAGTTTGCTCTTGAATATATAACTCTTTTTGGTCAAATCAGATTTTGGTATATCAAATGTGAGCATTATACGTATCAGGTTTTCATAAAGTGAAAGCATTAGATTTTGGTGTCTTTTCCCACTAATTTAATTTTGTTTTGTTCATTTTTCAATAGACTTTCACAGCAAATCTATATATTACAGATTTTAACGATATATATTTTATTTCTAGTAAAATTTAAGTTATTTTTATTTTAAATTTCTAATATTTATTAATTAAAAATGAAAAAATTTATAAATGAAAATACATATGTACTCTTTTATTTTCAATCAAACATTAAATATAAAAATATAAATAAAATTAATTAAGTTACGCATGAAATAATCATTTCCTTACTACATGCAAAGTAAAAATTATCACTCATTTTTTTATGTTGTTGCTTTCGTTAATACTGACAGGTTATTCGAACAGATGTATTTTATTTATTACATTCCGGATGATATTATTTTATAATATTTCAATTTAATTAAACTTGAGATTAACAACATCTTAATATTTTTATTCTTACAAAATATATACTTATGCATCAATAATTAATATTTTAAAATATTTTAAAATTTTAATGCATCACATGTATTTTCTTTGATTACAGAGATTAATATGAAACAGATTTTCATATTGAAATATTATTATCACTGAATTTAATATCTCGTGAAAGATAATTTATTAAAAATTTAGATGAATGATCGAGAAGGAACATAACAATACACCACCATGATTCATTTCACACACAATACAAATTAAATTACGTATATGCAGAGAAACCCTATAGGACGGAAAACTATTTAATTACAACAATTAAATTAATGAATACCATGCATGCAGATATCTAGTTATACATGATGATGATGATGATGATGATGATGGTGATGATGAATGAGCAAGTAACTTGTGATCATCTCGTGATATCTCTCTAATGGCGGATCCGCTTGTAAAGTGAGCAAATGTTGAGCACACAAAGGAAGACAAGCAGAACAGCAGCGAAGAGTGAGACAGCAATGGAGCTTCCGACATGGCGACAGAACTTGTCGTATACATGACAAATCTTCATCCACCTTGTATGATCATTTCCTTTTAATCCCACGTATGCTATGCTACCGGCTGCCCCGGTTGCCGATGCTACTATTCCCAACATTATCTGCGTCAATACATAAATATTTCCATTGTTAATTTCCATCAATTAATATATCAATTTCTTTTTGTACATTTAGTAATCTACATATTTAATTTAGTTTTTTTTTTGTTATTTTATATAAATTTATTATTTTTAAAAAAATTATTATTCCATAATTATTTCTTTATAATTTAAATTTACTTAGCTTTAATTTTACATATATATATATATATATGTACAAGAACGAGGGTGTTAAAAGTTAATTACCACATCCCCGGTAGCAAGGTGGAACAAGACTTTGGTCGAACAAGGCTTCCTCATTACAGAAAGGGAACAAAGTATTGCGATGATACTGTAAAGCCCAGCACCCGATAGCGCTGATACAAAGTAACTGCACACATCCGCGTACATACATATAAAATATATATAAATATATACACATTAATCATAAGACATAGTATAATAAATTTCCAGCTGAGGATACAATAGACTAAAATCCGCTCAAACTAACGGATTCTTACAAAGAAATCAATATATATATATATTGAAATCAAAAGTTTAGCAGGGCAATAATTTGTTCACCAATTAGTTTAGTAAGATACCATACCCTGTTTAAATTAGTACTCATATATTATATAACTTGGCAAATGATGATATTATATTATATTATATTATATAACCTGAAAGCAGGTGAGTGACTGAATTTGGCTGGAACAGGAACACGGAATGGGATTCCTGGAACAAAAGCAAGCTCGGTTTGTTTGCTGGTGACCATCACAACAACGGCTGTAATGCATGCTGCCAACACTAAAACCCTAAGCGTCAACCCAAGGCCGAAACATTTACCACCGGAAGACGGCTGAGTCGACACCTGCCTGCCGGATTCTGAATCAGGCTTATCGGTTGATGCCATGTATTTAGCTAGCTAGTTTTCAAAAGATAATGATCTTTGAAGAAATTACAGATTATGACGGGTTGGAGAAGAGGAGAAGTGTGTATTTATATTAAAAGTTGTGTAGCCTACGTTGTAGTTTTCTTCACGCCAAGTACTTTGTTTTATATAATATCTAGTGATGAATATAATATCTTTATATATGTAGTATTTATATCTATATCGATAACTTGAGGCGGGCGTTCTCATTGAGTGGAGAAGTTTGACAAGTTTTTGTTTTTTCTTTATAAAATATAATATTATTAAACGGATGATTCTTTTGTTTTTGTTATATATACATATATATATATATGTGTATGTCTGTACACATATACATAAAATACAAGCACTGGTATATATACGTATATAGTTTTTGATCCAAGGAAAATTGCTCGTGTACTTTTCAACGGGTGTGAGAGGAAGTTTGCTTGTTATTCTTTATAGGACTAATTTTGTTTGACTAGTAAAAGAGATTTATTAGAAGAAAGGCTTTTCAAGACTTGGTTAGCGTATAAACATCGATGCAAGTGGGCATATGCTTATACTGGCTGATTCTCTCGTATATATCATTGATTCTTGTTTCATATAGTTCTGCTGTCATTGCTTAATTTGTTTTCTGGGTTTTAATTATAATAATCCATATATACATACATATTTATATATCACATGGAGGCATATATAGAAATGACAGCCAACTTCATTTTCATAAAGTAAGGTATAAAATAAAAAATAATAAAAGGCTTAGATTCTAATATAAAATTACGTATGGTATTAGAAAACATAGTTTAATCCAATATATATTGGTTAAAATAAAATTAAAATTAATCTCCTAATATTTTTTACTTACACTTTTGAAATCTACTTTGATTAACATATTTATAATTTAAAAATATTTTAATTCAAAAACCAATGTGATTTATGCTATGATATAATAAAAACGTGTGACCGTTCACATCTTATGTTAAAAACATACTTTTCTATATGTTTTGAGCTATGTATGCTTAACTACTCTTTAGATTACATAAGTTTGGTAAGATAATATCCTTTTTAAGTATAAGGAGGTGATTTTTCAAATAACATCTATTATTATATACATAAATATTATAATTAAACTTTTTATTTTTAAATTAATGATATTTTAAAATAAAAATTTAAAGGGATTTTTAGAGAAAATCTTCTTGATTCTTAAGCCTGAGTTCTCTAAATTCAAAGAAAATAAATAATATTAAAATGGTTATATTCTTTGATCTTCATTTGTTGTCTTCTTATTGATGCCCTTTTTTTCGATTTGTTCCTCTTACTTGAGTTAAGATTTCATGCTAACATCAACAATTCAAATGATATCGTCAGTGAAAAAATAAATTTATGTCATTCATCAAAATCAATGAGGTACTTCATTTTGTTCAACCTAAATTTTTTCCAATCCATGGGAAACACTCCCTTGTGCTAGTGTGTTGTATCCTTTTGAGACTGGAAATTAGGTTCTCTGTTATGATGGTAATTTCTCTTTTGCAACCCTTTTTCCTACCTTATTAGTTGCCACATAAATATATAGCTTGTGTTTTATTCTTAATGTGAGTGCTTTTGGTTACCCACAAGAACAAAACGAAAAATGACCTTTTTTTTATTTTTTTTTATTTTAAGAGAAATTAGTTAAGAAGCTAATCCTCATTCTTAATCAAAATTTTCTAAGTTAAAGCAATTTGTTAACATAGATACTGTTAAAGAGAGGGTGCTTGAACTTTTCTATCTCATGATTATATAGACTGAAGAACTTTCACTTTGGTATGCTTTAGAGCCAAACACTTACAGGAGTCAATAAAAGTATAATTTTATATACATCCAAAATTAGTTATATAATTTGTGAGTTAGATTAATATAGATTATACTCATGCACAATCCAATATATATTGTTAGATTACTTTACATTATTTTTACTTATACTCTAAAATTTTAAACTTTATCACATAAATTATAGAAAAACCTATATATAAGAGGTATTCTTTGAGGAGTTCAACCTAAAGTTTTCCTAGGTGGGTCTCCATTTTGGTTGTGGCACCTTTGAGACATCTCCATATGTTTCTCTTTGTCCCTGTTTAATTAGTTGGGATACTTTTCTCCATTATCAGTTGTCTACTTTTTCAAATGCTTAATATATGCTTTCTTCACGCATTTAGAGGTTGCTTTACATGTGACAGCCCGGACTCCCATCTAAAGTTATGATCATACGCACACTATATTATGATAAAATAATCTATAAGAATACTTCGCGCAACAAATTTTAAAATAATAAAAAGTACATCTCTTACATACTTAACTCAAAATACTCAATATCCATGAGACAGGTCTAAACTCTAAAATAAATACTCACTAAAAAAGAAATAATTAACATTAAGTACTGTTCGAATTACAATAAAAAATAAACGATATCTTAGCAAGCCTTTCACTATTCAGGAGTGGGATTCTAAATATTCTGATTTGGAAGAAATGAATAATAAATAGGATAAGCTTAATATACTTAGTAAGCATATAAGTACCACAAACAATAGAGTAATCCATCTAAGTTGGTATAAAATATAAAATTACCGACGGAGAGAGTTCAAAATATTTTTATCTTTAGTTCAGAAAAAATATAGTATCTACACTCTCATTCATTCACTAAACCCAATAAATCAATTTGCTCGATAAATATAAGGATTCAGTATAAATAGCTCAGTAAACATCATAATTTAGTATTAGATAAATAGTTCAGTAAATATCCAAATTCAGCATTCTAGTATTATAAGCTTTACACATAAATTTAGATATATTCATAATAGTTTACGTCTTATTGAGAATGGTTTCATCTTATTTAACAATATCACCGCTATTGATTATTTTTATAGCTTCATCTTTTAAGTTTCATCGCACGATGCCATTTCTGCCAGTATCATGGAAGGTAGAACAAATCCGCTTTACCACGTGGATACCAACAGATAACAGACCCTCATTCCCCGAAGGGTTATAGGCACTAGATAACAGGTAATAGATAACAGATTCCCAACCACGACGTCTGGTATGAGACTTCCTAGTCACATCTGACTGAGACCGTATCCACGGGTAGGGTTCACCCAGATCACCCGCCAAAATAGCCACACATGCACACACCCCTCTTTGACACCGATTAATGGATTTTCTAAATCTTTTAATAATTATCTGTTTACTTCAACTCACTAATAAACTCCTTAAGTTTATCGTTTAATATTTCATAAACCTATAACACACATACAGTAAATATTCATTATCCTCGACTCTTCTATGTATCTTTAATATATTCATAATTATATAGCAACAAATATATCTATGAATTCAGTTACAAAATATAGTAGAACAATTCATCAGTAATTTCAATAATAAACGTAAATAAGAACACAATAATCAATAGTAAAATACCGTTGGAATCTTGCACTTAATTATTAATTATTAAACTAATTAACTAGAGATCACCTACTGAGTACTATTAATTAATCACTTAAACATATCAAACTACATCTGTAAGCACTTACGCACATACCTAATTTTCATCTAAATCTTGTTTGTAAAATTATCTCCGATATACAAGATCAACCTGTTATAGTAATATCCGTATCGGGTTAGTAATGAATTTATTATTCCTTAATTTCAAACACCCATGTCTAGACTTATTCCTAATTTTAAACTGGATAAGTTATTTATTGTATTAAAATTAAATAAGATTAATAAATCCTAAGTTTAAAACAGTAAATCGTTAAGTTTTTTGAACTCACCTATCCGAACCGGATCCCTAGGACTCACTGCGTGCAATCGTCGGAAGTCCGTGTGCCTCCACACGCACCACCACCGGCCGTGACAGCCCACCGTCGGTCATCGTCGCTCGCTGTCGCCGCCCACCGCCGATCGTCGTCACTCGCTACCGATTGCTACTGCAGATTGGCTGAAATTCACTGTAAAGTGCTCGTGTCCTCAGATCCAACGCAGATTTGGTGGAATCGCGCTGGAGGGAGTTGCAGAACAGCTAAATGCGTGCCCAGCTACCGCGCAGGCCATCTTTTTCTCCTGCGCACTGCAGCATGCAGCACCAGCATCTCATCTTTTTTTTTTCTTCTTCTTCCTCTTCTCCTTTCTCGACTGCCGACTGACGGTAGTCGCAACCTTTCTCTCTATTTTCTTATTTTTTTTTTCTCTCTTTCTTTCTTTCTTTCTTTCTTTCTCTTCCTACACTCCCTCCCTTTGTGTTTTATAGGGAGAGGCA